AAAAAACATTTATATTTGAATTGTCGTTATATGTTTTCAGATTTTCTTTCTTAACCTGGAAGATGTTATACAGTTTAATAATCTGTTCTTCTCAATTAATTACCGTCAGTATATGTTTTTATAGATTTTTTATAAAATCTGTACGTCTCTCTACTGTAGGTAAGTTCTAGTATCTCAAAATTTTGTATGATTTACTTAGGTTGAATAACCGTTTCACCATTCACGGTTTCCATCCATCTTTACCTTTACCAACCTATTACCTTTTTACCCCTCCACATACATATAACTAAGTTCTACACCTATTATATCTCTAAGGTGTTTCCTCTTCATAACTTCCCTGTACCATGATTACCTTTACTCTATTAAGAGTTTCGAATCCACATTTATCTCGAAAATAGTCAAAATATATACATCCGAAATTGCAGATGGTAGGTTGCGAAGGTAGGCAACCTACCTTTAATTGATAGAGGAGGAGACGCACTTAAAGAGGATATTTCCCCTTCCTATGCGTCTCCTTCACCGTCAAATCCACTTTTTCTTCCCATCTTTTCCTCTAAAGAAAAGGATGGAAAACGAAAGGGACTGTAATTAGGCCTCCTACACCACACTCATCAGATGAAACGCGGAATTGCTTTTATTTTACGCCTGTTTTCTGTGTGGTCCTGATATTTCACCGGGCTAGCCGGTCCATTCGAGTGAAGATGGTAACGCGGTCTCTACCACTGTTAAAATATACTTATATTACTATGTTTTAATTTCAGTATTCGCATGTTACTATACCTCTAATTCTATGACTGGCGTGTTTTCTCTCATCGTGGCGAAAAGATGGCCAAGATTAATGCTCCAGTTGAGTCAATCACGACTCGATAAATACACTGACAGTCGCGTTAAACAAAAATGCACAATTATATCTCTAGTTTATTTAGCTATATGCCTTGGTAAGTAGCACTGTACTTAATACACTTCGAATAGAGTATATTGTTTATGGTTCTAACCATACAAAAACATAAAATCATCAGATCACAATCCAACGTATAAAATATGTGATGGAAATATCGGATTTTGGGACGCTATCTGACAGTGACGTCACTTTTAAGCTATCTGAGCCTCTATCAGCCAGTGGTGGTACAGGCTCTTAGTATTTCAAATACATTTTAACTTAAACATGCATTAAAATTTTTATGGCTTGGGCCGATTTTTGATAATTTAAGGTTAATCGAATTAAAAGACTTTCTTATCCTTATTCTTATTAAAACATAAATAAAATGACTCAGACTGAAATCAAGTTGACGTCTATAGTATCAATCAGCGGCTATCAAAAAGTTATACAAGTATCTAATAGGGATATGCAAAATTCGAAGCGAATAATTCACAAGTTTCGGATATTCGCACACCCCTAATGGTATATATTTTTCGGAGTATTACAATATGGTTTTATCAACAGTACTGCAAGTACTACGATCAATTGGAAAATTAAATGAAGTATTTAATTGCAATGCAACAACAAAAGACATGTTAAAAACTTATATACAAATAACAAGTCCGTGGATATTTGAACTAAATATGCCTTACAATCTGTTTACAATGATTTTAATAGTGGTAAGTATTATAAAAATTAAAGAATGGCTCCTTTTTCTTTAAGAAAAATATTCATTTCAAATTATCTATTACTTAAATTTGAAAGTTTATTAGAGTTTGTAGCCTAAACTGCTGAATGGATTTCGATGAAATTTGGTACAGGTAAGAGGATAGTCTGAAAAAACACATAGGCGTATACTTTTCTTTTTTATTACCACGCGGACGGAGTCGATGTCGACAGCTAGTGTAAATATTTATATTGATAGTTTTAATTATTTTAGTGATATTAATCTGTAATTGATTATTTTTTAGGTTATGAATATATTAACATTAACGATATGGTACTTCAGCGATGTATTTATAATTTGCGTAAGTTTGTTCTTAGCTTCAATCGTAGGTAAAATAAACGAAAAAGTTATATCATCAGAGGGCAAAGTAAGTATGTTTATGTTGCAACTATCAAAATATACATAACTAGCTGTTCCCGTGCGAATTCATCCGCATGGAATTATGAAAATTCTATTTTATTGTTTACATCTGTCAAATTATCAATTACAAATGTCAAAATGACATGACATGATGACAACCTTCCTTGCTTGATGTTGGCAGCAATTTATGGCCACTTTCTCACATTACGGTTTTTATCCAAAATATTTACCCCCTAATTTTAATGGCATGAAAATATATAGCCCACAGCATGTCGTTAGTGTAGGGCCTTTTATTAAAAAAAAAGAGTTATTCAAAATATGCTATAATTGCATCGTAGGCAACAAACAAAGAAGTGTGTGTTTACGCTTTATTATAATAGTAAAAATAAAATTAAAAAAAAAACATACAGGCGAATTGTACCTCCGTCTTTTGGGAAGTCGGTCAAAAAGTAAAAATAAAGATTAATATTATTATATATCTTTGTTGGCTGAAAATGAAATAATATTTTATTTATTCCGTAGATAATGCCTTCAACGTATTGGCGAAATTTACGGCAAGACTATAATCGTACTACAAAATTGATCCGTTCCTTTGATGACGTCATTAGTGGCCTTATATTTTCTTCATTCGCTAACAGTTTGTTCTTCGTATGTCTTCAGTTATATTATATACTTTCGTAAGTATTTAGTTTTAATAATTACTGAAAAAATAGTAAATTCATTTTAAAAACTACGTGAAAAAAGGTGCACTTTTTAAAAAGTTACTTCAAGAAAGTATTTTTGTTTTTTTCGAATTAAACGAAGTTATCAACGACTTAGGTTTTCTGATAATTTTTTTCAGAAAAGGAGTTAACACGTATTTTACAGTCATTAACGGTCCTTGCCCAAATATAATTCAAGGGTAAGATGTTTTAACATAATTTATTTAAAAGGAAATTAAACATCCATTATCTTGGAGACTGTTGACGTGTCAATGAATAAGGCATTCGAAAAATTGCATAACGTTTCGATTTTTTAATACGTCAGAATTTGTCATAGATTAAGTAATATACTAGAGTGGTACAGATAATAATCGTAAATATTACTTTGTTCTCTGCACTTCATTGTCTCAATATTCTGTATATATTAGAATTAATTATGATGTAAAAACTTTTACATATATTTATTTCCAGACCATTCAACGGTTACGAGCACAGTATTTACATACTATCTTTAGTATCTTTTCTGATTGTGAAATTTATGTTTGCTGCGCTATGTATTGCGGAAATAAATTCAGCTTCTCTTAAAACTGCCCCTTTACTATACAAGATACCATCATCCATATTTTGTAAAGAAGTAAGTACCTTTTGATTAAACTATCTACAAACCGTTGGTCTCTAGTTATAACATAATTAGTGTGTACTGCTCTGTGACATCTGAGGCCTTGTTCTACCTTCCAAGTTTTCTGATAGAGGCAGAGCAGTTGAAGTACTACTATCATTTGAACCAGTACAGTTATAACAGTTCTATTTAGCAAATGTTTGAAATAATAGTACTGCATTGTCTACTGTTCTGCTTCTTTGTTCTGACCTCGTGTGAAATAGTTATTAGCTTGATATTAACCATCCTTAATTGGTGTGTTAATTATATTTTTAATGAAAGCAGCTTAGACCAGGAACCAGCCTCTTTCACCGGGTTAACGAATTGGTATGATTTTTTTTTTCATCCGCAATTGCAGTTGCGCTGCCTAACCTTAAATGACGGACGAGGAGACGCACATAAAGAGGACATTTCCCAATCCCATGCGTCTTCTCCACTGTCAAATCCACTTTTCCTTCCCTTCCTTTCCTCATAAGAAAAGAGTGGAAAGGAAAAGGGACTAAAATTAGGTCTCCGGCATCACACTCATCACACGAAACACGGAATTGCTTTCAATTCAAGCCTGTTTTGTGTGGTCGTGGTATTTCACCGGGCCAGCCGGCCAATTCGTACGAAGATGATAAAGCGGGCTCTACTCTCTCTCACTGGAATTAATTTAACATAGTACAAATAATTTTGTTACTCTTAGATTTTTTTTTAGGTGCAGAGATTTATCGATCAATTACACGGACAAATCGTTGCTTTGAGTGGCTTAAATTTTTTCTTCGTAACTCGAGAATTAATTTTTTCTGTAAGTGCAATTGTTCAGCATTATTCTTTTAATGTATAAACATTAATTAAATAATATTCATATAATTTCAGGTGTTCTCAACTATTATTACTTACGAGTTGATGTTATTTCAATTTAGTAGTGAACAGTTTAAGATATTTTAAAATAGAAATTGTTTAAAATAAACTACTTTTCATAGGAATGTTATTTACTGAAATCCTGGCACTTTATTTCAATAGGTGAAGCAAGATTAGTAATAGATTATTTAATTATATTAAATAATTATTGTAAAATATAATAAATATGTTAAACACTATTTTGAGTTTATTGTCGTCTACCATATATCTGAAAGTTAAATTTTCCAAAATTCTTCTTGCATATTGTAGATATATCTCATATTCTCTCCACTCGTTTAGTTCATTGGCATAAAGAATTGATTGCTCTTAAAACACCGACTAGGATGTACCATTTGAAGCACTGAAAGAAGAAGCATTACGTACATTTATGCGTTGCAAATTCTTGTTCAGAAACATTAACATAACAGAACATTAATGTACTAAGATGACGTCTCTTAGTGCGGCAGTTAATAATTTAGACGTTAACATCATTTACTAAACTATCGCACAACTACTTAGTCGCGCTTTGATTCCTTTGAGCTTATATGGAGGTGCGTATACTAATCGATTTTTAGTTGTGCAACTAAACAGTTAAATGGGCCGCGAAACAATCGACAATCGACAATCGTCCAACTGTTTTTATTTTTTTATTTTAATACGAAAATTAGTCAAAGTTAAAGTTAAAAACCACCCATTTTCTTTATAAAATTAGTAACAATTGTGAATAATATCTAATAATTTAATTCATACCTAAATTTTCTTTACAAATAGATCTCCGGGCATGACATTCGTTGACGAAAAATTGATATCCTCTTTTGTATCGACTGAACATCATACAGACAGGCTCTTTGTCAACAGCGGGTAAATCTTCACAAACAGAATCACAATCTTCAACAAGCATCACCTCCTGTAAACAAACACCTGCGAAAAACTATGTTATGCACAAAGAAATAGACGCACATTTCTACTTTATCAGCCTGCCCCGGTCCCTACGGTATCATATCTGAATTAACTCCATCCTCTTTCACACTGCCATCTATACTTACTTCAGTCTTCCGCCACGTTTGTTGCCATTAATCTCACGCCGTGGTACTTTTAGTAACATTTTTCGATTTGGTTCAAATATTAACAATCCGAAGATCGTTACAGTTATCGGTAAACACGACCTGTTGTTTATATGGCGATAGATTGGTCTTCTTCTTTTGTAAAGGAAGTAGCTTTCGCCCGCGACTCCGTCCGCGTGGAATAAAAAAACTGTTATCTATGTCAAATTTAATCGAGAACCGTTCATCCGTTAAGGCTACAAACTCTAACAAACATTCATCCATCTAAAGTTTCGTATTTACATTATTAGTAAGATTAATTTAATTCTCGGATCAATCTCAGAATTCGAATATTAAGTTTAGTTATGTTAAATTAATGGATATTGTAAAAAACTCACTAGAAAGCATTATTGTTATAAGAGTTTGAATAATCATAACATAATTCTGTCCACTTCAGTGTTATTACATATGTTGCGATTTGAAAAAAATACACAGTTTGCAAGATTATTTATCGAGCTCATAAAAATTGTATCAACTTATTGAAATTGCATACAATAAATTTTAGACTATGACGTATTGTAGCAAATAAACATGATAGGGAAAATGTTACATGAAAAACATGTTTTCCACGAATTGAAAGAGTAATGGCGTTCACGTACTTAAATTGCATGTTTCAATGAACCGGAAAAAAGACCACAATTTTAGTTTTCGTCTATTTTCTTTGAGGTCAACCATATTATGTAGTGGTTATGTTTTTACTTCAAAACGTCTAAATCAGTGGTTCCCAAAGTTGTCCTTATCGACCCCTACGGGTCTATGACAACCTGCAAGGGGTCTAAGTGGGCGAAAAAAAATTGGGGGTCCATGAATGGAAAATGGGGGTCCACGATAGTGGATCTCTAAACAAATTGACAGGAAATCAATATCAGGTAAGTAGGGGGTCTACCCAACACGGAAAAACAAGGAAAGGGGTCTACGACATAAAAAAGTTTGGGGAACTCTGGTCTAAACGGATATAAATCAATAGATTTTATTTTTCGTGTTGTTTAAAAATCATTTTAAAAATGCTCTCACACAAATCAAGAGCAAAATTTTTAAATTTAATTCATTAAGTCTGAGTGTTCGGTGGCTGTTTTACGTGTTTTCTTTTTTTTAATTTGGTAAGTGTCATTAACTATGTCAAGGTCGTCTGTTGCGGTCGCGAAAAAATAATACAGATCAGTAATTCGTAAGTGAAGATTTTTAAAGCTAAATGTTATTGCAGTTAATGAATGTAAAAAATAATTTTATTGATTATTTCTTAAAAGTGGTAAGCCCGAAAATATTAGTATTTTGTTTTCTGGTAGTTCAATTTATGTATTGATACACAAAAAAAATTAAAACACTTTGTGTGTTTATATAAACGAATTTATTGTATTATGTGAGTGTGTGTGTGTGTGTGTTGTTGGTATATATGATTGGGCGTTAAGACATCTTGGAGTGAAAGAGTTTTTATTGTTGTTTCTAACTGTTGTTGCAAGCCTAACTAAGATAAGAAATAACGAGATATGTCCCATGGTATATGCTGAAATAAATTTATCTGTTAATTTGGTAAAATAAATTGAAAATCAGTGAGCCAGACGCCTAATCTATAGATAAGGATTCAGTGACTGAATGGAACAGGAAATAAGCTAGGAGCTTTGTTTTCCTTAATTTATGTAGCTGTGAAATTATTAATTTGGCCTTAACAAGTATTTGAAAAGCAATCCTTGTATCATTAATCTAAAGTATATAATAACAACTCATTCGGAGATAATTGATATAGTAAAATTATGGCGAAACGATATTTGTCCAGTTAACCGTGACTATGCACTTTCAAAGCGACATCTTAAAAGATAAATTGAAACGTGTATCTCAAAATTATACAATTTGGAAGGTGTATTCATTTGTCATCCTTTTGTGTAACTAATGTACCTTCAACTATGTAAACAATTATCATATTACTAGCTGTTCCAGTGCGACTTCATCCGCATGAAATTATTAAAATTTTATTTTATTGTTTACATTTGTCAATAATCAATAGCAAATGTCAAAATGACCTGACATGACAATCCTTGATGTTGGTAGCAACTTATGGTCTCTTTCCCACATTAAGGTTTTTATCCAAATTATGTACCCCCTAAGTTTATAAGCGTGAAAATATATAGCCTAAAGCGTGACGTAAGTTTAGGGCTTTTTATTAAATAAAGAATTATTCAAAAATATGTTGTAATTGCTGACATCTTAGGCAACAAAGAAGTGTGTATTTGCGCTTTATTATAATAGTACAGATAGATATAGTAAAGATGATAATGATATTTTGAGATTTCACGAATAATCTATTTACTTTCTAAGAGCTTGCGCACATCTTTGACTAAACTATCGCACAACGATTGTCTATGGTTTTGCAGCTAATTCAACTGTTTTGTTACACAACTGAAGATCGATAATTGTGCGTACCTCTATATAAATTCATAGGAATCAAAGCGAAACCAAACAGTTGTTCGACAGTTTAGTCAAAGGTGTTCGTGCGCTCTAAAGGTTAATAAAACTAGTAAACGGCAAGACTGTTGACAAATTCTAATTAATAGCTGTTCCCGTTTAATGTCGTTTAAAATATAGAGCCTAAAGCGTATCGTAAGTGTATGGCTTTTTATTAAAATAAGAATTATTCAAATATAACATATATTTGAATTGATTGCTGATATCCTACGCCACAAATTAGTGTCAGTTTACGCTTCATTATATGAGTATATATTTGTGCTTAATAACTAATTGAAATATTTTCAACAACTTCAAAAAAAAAAAAAATTTAATTGAACTGTTCTTTAATTTGGAAATCAGCCAAATCTCATAACATAGTTTATTGTACGAACGCTACACTAAATAATATATGAAGCATTTACAAAGACTGATTAATAATTATATTTATTCTAATATAATGATAGATCTTTTAACTTTAACTGTATTTAAAGAATTATCTTTAACCAGAAGAAAGCGTATTCTTCATCATCACCAGCTCACTGTACGTCCCCACCGGAGCCTACCCTAAGTTAGGGTGACTAGGCCATAGTCAACCACGCTGGCCAAATGCGGGTTGGTTGACTTCATTCATATCTTTGAATTTCTTCGCCGATATGTGCAGGTTCCATCACGATGTTTTCCTTCACCGTAAGAACGTCGGGTAAATTATGTACATATGAAAATTCGAAAAATCGAAAATCACATTGGTACATGGCGGGATTCGAACCCAAGACCTGTAGATTACAAGTCAAGTGCTTAAGCCACTGAGCCAACGACGCTCCTTACGTACTTACGTATTCTTCATCAAAGTTAATTCGAAAAAACCTTACGGGAAGCAAAATTAAGGTAAAGTAAGCAGTACGACTATAACCTCGTTATAAAAACATTCTTTCATTCAAACAAATTCAGCAAGTAAACAAAAGAAAAGTAAAGATTAGTCTTAAAGCGTCCATTTAACAATTTTTTAAATCTTACTTAATTTCTGTTATGAAACTAACTACGAAATGTTGGTATCATCTTTTGACCAACATTTGGTACAAAACATTTTGCAGGAAAACAAGTGTTTATCTCAGTAAGTTAACCTATAAATCTAAAAAGGGATGAAATAAATCTATTACATTTTGTCCTTGAAAGAGAAAAATACGCGTTTTATTAAACTGTTGGAACTTTTAAGAGAACACTATTGTTTTTATTTCTTCAGTAACTTCGAACGGTTTAATATATTAAGAACTGATTGGCGCCCTCGACTTTTTCTCGTTTAAAAGTCGTTTTATCAATTTTCAAGTAATTCTAATGAAGATAAAATCTCATATAATGTTGTCCCCTACTTTAGATGTTTTTGATACCAATTTTGTAATAAATTGTCTCATATTAGTCGACTTTTGAGTCGACATAATTAACGAAAGTATCAAGTATTTAATCTGTGGAAGACATCTAGGCATCGATCACATTTTGAACTATAACATGTTATCAAAATGTTTTCCTCTGCTAACGGTAAACGCTGACACGTCAAAAATACTGATAGAACGACAAAAGAAAGTTTTCTTTTGTAGTCCGTGGCCGCTTATTTAAAGGTCCAAGCTAACTTGTCAATATTATTTGTCAATGTCAGCCCTGCTTGCTACGGAAAAAATATTTTCGAACTAGTTTTCTCCCGCGACTCCGTTCGTGTGGACTTAAAAAAAACAAAAGTGTGTATCCTATGTGTTCTTCCAGACTACCCTCTGTATCCATACAAAATTTCATCGAAATCCGTTCAGCCGTTTAGGCTACAAACTCTAACAAACATCCATCCATCCATCGATTCGTCCCATCCATCCATCTAAACATTCGCATTTATAATATTAGTATGAAGTATAATATTCTCCGAGGTTAGATTGAAATAAAGCGAGAAATAGAATATTAAGTAACTTGGAAGCTCCTACTTGATTTAAAACTACAAGTTAAATAAAAAAATCACTTGTAACAACTCTTAACATAATTCGTAATATGACTTGCGTGTTTAATATAGTTTACTTTTTACCTTTGAATTTTGTTTGAGTTATTTGCATAACAAAGCCGAATAAACATCAAAGGTAGATAGTACATTAAAAATTGAATAAAGAACACTTAACTTTACTTGAGTTCACATTGATTGGCTCTGTGTAACAATTTATTCGATAAAAAATTCTTTGTTACTTTTTAACAATAAATAATTTTGTATATGAAATAAAATTTTAATTTCTTGTTTAAATGTAATAATTGAATTAGTTCTAGATATAACATTGATTTATTTTAACGGTAGTAAATTAAAAATGGTTAATTACTTTGGAAAATCCTGTATAGCTTATATTGAAATTAATTTCATTACCCCTAATTTAGGTCAAGTTAATAAAAATCTAAACAGTTTTCAACAATGTAGTCTAGTATACAAATTGTTTTAATGGCAGTCATAAATTTATTTGAATTTCTGTACGGTTTTAATTTTTAACTAACTATGTCTTCTATACATATAATAAAATTGGAGTGTCTGTTTGAAATATCAAAAGAAAAATTCCAGATTTTTCTGTCTGCCTTTCTCACTGTCTGTCTGTCCGCAAGCCCCGTTTGTTCCGGGTAATATCCGTAACGACTGGGCCGATTACGACAGGACTTTCAGTAGCTGACATGGATAGGCATAGTATAGGCTGCTTTTTTTAAAATTTCGCGCTGTCACAATGGCGTAATTGGTGGTTCAAATTTGCACTTACGAAGTTTGCGGGCGACATCTCGCCACAAGTAAAATTCTATAGCTTTATGATAAATACAAGTTAATTCGTTAAAGACATTGACGGTAATGGGTCTCCGTTTGATTTGGCAGATCTTATTACAGTTGCGATATCGGTTTCGTCTTGTACTTCTTTACTAATTGAACAGTTTTGGATTCATTCAAATATTATATCGTAAAATTTAGATGGTATTTATACCATCATTCCTAGACAGCAAATATGCTTGTATAATATATATTAGGCGTAGTAAGAAGGCATAGTAAGATGACCAATGGCTCTTAAATGATGGTCTCTACCTACGCCACTGCGTCATAAGGATTTCAATCTTAATAATAAAAAATATGTATTAAAAATGTATTTAAGAAACGGGTTAACATTTATGTGTTAGCAATGACGTCACTTTTTTAATCCAAGTGGATATCTCAAAGAAAAGTATGTTATTAACAGAAAAATAATTATACGTGCTTAATAAATTTAATGATCACATTATCAATATGCGGAAGTGTAATTAATTTTTTAATTAAAAGAGAGGCGAGGCCACTTGGCATATACTCTCCAGTGGCGTCGATTCATTAACTTGATACTAAATGAAATGTTGAAATAAATGAAGTTAGCTTTTAACTTATATGTTAATTTATTTAGAAAACTGTTTAACAAATATATCTAGTACTAGCTTTCGCCAGCGATTCCGTCCGCGTAAAATGAATAATTAAGTAGCCTGAGTTCTTCCAGACTATCCTCTACATCTATGCCAAATTCACAGAGATCTGTTCAGTCGTTAAGGATACAAACTCAGAACATACGAGTACATCCATCCAACTAAACTTTCGCATTTATTATATTAGGATTATGTCGGACCTGGTCAGACCTCTTCATCATCATCATCGTCGTCATCATCTGAAAAAAATCATGTTATTTATTATCTGTACCTACTGTTGCCTCGGCGCTTAAAAAGCTCTTAGCGATATAGATTTATTGAACACAGTATATTGTCTAAGCTATGTATAAAATACTAGCTGTTGCTCCAGACTTCGCACGCGTGAAATTAAAGTAACCAACAAAAATAACGTATGTTACTGATAACGTAGCCTTTGAATGGTGAAAGAATTTTTGAAATCGGCCCAGTAGTTTTTGAGTTATAATAGTTTTTTTAGAGTTTTTGTTTGAGTTACAGTGAGTTATATAATGTATACAAAATACAAATATTTCCTCTTTATAATATTAATATAGATTGTGACTAAAAGAATCACTTTGACTTCAAATTTATATTGGATACGATGCTTTGTTCACCGCACTTCAAGTGTAGCAACTTACCAGAGTAAGTATACATTCCGGTAATAATATACATTTAAGTACAGAAATTGTATACATTAGACACGAACATTTTAACTTATTATCTACATTATAATTATTTTTATTCGAACAAATTTAAATGTATATTGAAGGTTGTAAATGTCCAAAACATTCTTTGGTTCGGAAAGGAGTACTGTATTCTTTAGATTTAATATTTAAGTATGATAAAAAATATGTATAAAATAAAATAAGAAATGGTGATCTCAAATACACAAAAACAAAACGTAACTATGACAAATACATAGAAAGAGATGTATGGATTGCATGAAAGGTGACATGATCAAAAAGGGAGTGATGACTGAGATGACGTATGATAGAGTTATTTGGAGGACAAAATCGTGTTGTGCCGAGCCTACGGGATTAGGATAAGAAAGATGATGATGACAAACACATTGGAAAAGCATCTATTCTTCCTTCCTTATTTTTGCCGTTCTCGAGTATGGAAGAACTAAAAAAAATAGCTCAAATGGTTAAACAGATTAACGATTCAATATTCAAATTGCATATTTCTGAGAATTAAAATGCAATTATGCTGGGTACCAGAAGTGTCCATTTAGTGTCGTCGAGTGTGTGTTTTCGTTATTCGTAATTAACGTAATTCGGAAACGCCTTAAAAGTTATTGGACGAAAACACAAACCAATGGTTAAATGTAGCTGGGAAACCGGCTATTAGGATTATATTAGGATGAATAATCCTAATTTAGTATACTAAAGTCAGTATTTCTTTAAGGATTTTCTGCCGTGTATAAAGAAAATATTTACATTCACAAAATGGACAGGAATACCTGTTTATGGTGGAAGAATTGCCACAACCTGGGCTTTGCTTTTGTTTATTCTGTTATGTTGTTTGGAAGCAGCCGCAATATGGAAACTGATACGCTTATTAACTGGTGTTGCGGTTCATTCTTCAGCTGGTCGTAAGTAATATTTACAATTCTAGTATACATGCGGTCAAAAATGAAGTGCTCAATATAAGACCGCTTTCCTAACACTGTATAACAAGTTAAAAATGTGATAATTCATCGTGTAACAAAACATCCTATCGTTACATGATTCGTTTATTCTTTGCCATCTCCGGTAGCTTTTACTCAATCGAATCGTATTCTTGATAGTTCGTTGTTGCAAAGATGAGATTTCGCAGACGTGCCAGAAATCTCACATTAATAATGTAGAACCTAAGGTTCATCCTATAAATGAAGTGATTTTAATGTTCGTACTATTTTTTGTAGAAAGCTTAGTGGCAAGATTATCAGGCTCGATATTTTATGCAAATGGCCTAATATCTCTAATCCTTACATGGAGGTTCATCGGTTCTTGGGATGATTTATCACAACATTGGTTAAGAAATGAATTGTCATCGGGTTTGAATATAGCATCAGATAAATATATTAAAAGGAATGTTATTATTGTCACCATATTTGTTAGCGTATGTGCAATTGGTAAGTATGGTAAAATATTAATAAGAAAATATTCAATACAAGTAAAAGATTTTTTTTTTCTAGTCAATTCCAACACTAGTTTTATGTGTTTTACGTTACAAACTTAGAGCGTCTTAGAGCGCAATACCTTTGACTCATTTATCGCACAACTGTCAATTGTTTCGCAACCAATTCAATTGTTTAATTGCACAACTAATAATCGACTAGTGTGCGCACCTCCATATAAGCTCATACACAGCCGGCCAAAAGTTGTTCAGTCATTTAGACACGCATAAGACAAACATATAACATTTTTTGCTAACCATTCTCAGTGGAACACATATTCAGTATGATTGCGGCGATTGGTTTTCGATGCTGTTCTCTTAAAGAATGTTTCAAGACATATATTTTAATATCACATGGATTTTTACTACAAAATTGTAAGTAACTACGTAAAAAAGCAAATTTTTTTCAATAAATTAACTACTGAAAATACACTTTAAACTCTTATTGCAATTGTTATATTGCAGATGAATATAACTTATGGTTGGCGATTCCAATTTTTGTTTTAAGTAAATTGGCAACTGTTTTGTGGAATCTACAAGATTTGATCATAATATTGATGAGTATGGGCTTAATATCTCGATACGATATGTTAAATATCTACACTAGAATGTTAGTTCAACGTGAATATCAGAAGACACAGAACTATGTAAGTGAATAAAAAAATCCCTGACGAAAACAAACTATTTTTTTTTAATTAGTATTTCATCACCTTCATTAGCTCACTATATGTCTCCATTGAGGTGTTCAGGGACTACTCTAAATTTAGGGAGAGTAAGTCATAGTCAATCACGCTGGCCAAGTGCAGGTTTGAATTTCTCATCCGATATGTGCAGGTTTCACAACATTATCCTTCACGAGAACTTCGGGTAAATAAAAAACAGAATAAACTAACGTATCTACACATCGATCAATGGCGTAAGCTACGACGAGCGTACGCGCGTCAAGCAAACTTAGTGCGCGAGCTAGAAAGACACCTGGGACCATTAGTTCTACTATCGAACTTGAATAACTTGTATTTCATCTGTCTACAACTTTATCTTGGCATAAGGTACACATTTCCATCAAATCCCATCCAGAAAAGCCGAAAACCTTAAGAGATTCCTAGCCTAAGGGCGGTTATTCCTAGCTTTAGGCCTACTGTTTAAATAAGAATGACGATAACGAGTCATAAATGTAATATGAAAACCATTGTATAGTAAAACTAGCTTTCGCCCGCGACTAGGTCCGCGTGGTTTAAAAAAAAACATAAGTAAGTAGCCTATGTGTTCGTCCAGACTATCCTCTATATCTATACCAAATTTCATCGAAATCCATTCAGCCGTTTAGGCTACAAATTCTAACAAGCATCCAACCATCTAAACTTTCGCATTTATAACATTAGTAAGAAGTAAGACAAGATGACGAGTGACGTATAACTATTTCTTCTTTCGAATATATATTTTTTTAATCATAAAACCTACGATATTTATAGCCTGTCTTATTTTTCTGTAATCGTTTTTGAGCGTATTGTAATTGACTCTCATATTTTGTTTTAGAATAATGACGAGATCATGGATAAGTCGTACGTATTACTTACTATCTCTGACTTGGCTGCTGTCTCGGGCATGTGGTGTTGTGTTAGCCGCCGCTGCTATCATTTTGCACTCAAAAAAGGCTTTACCTTGTTTAAGATCTTGCTTGAGTGCGGCTTATAACGTAGAGGTAAACTGAATCTACACTGAAAAACTCTATTATATTTTGATTTATTCATATAACTATTGCTTTATTTGTTAACTAGCTTTCGCCGACGACTCAGTTCGCGTAGAATAAAAAATAACCACTTTTGTTATTCTAGCCTATGTGTAGCCTATGTGTTCTTCCAGACTATCCTCGACATCTATGCCAAATTTCATTAAAATCCGTTTAGCCGTTTATGCTACAAACTCTAACAAACATCCATCCATACATCCATATAAACTTTCGCATTTATAATATTAGTATGACAGTAAGAAGTATGTTTTAACTTTATTTATTGTTATTATTTCAGGTAAAAAGATTGATTACCCAATTAACATACGATAATGTTTGTTTAACTGGGATGCAATTGTTTTCTTTGTCCAGACAAAGTTTACTAGAGGTACAAATAATTTTATAACAGATTACAACAATAACAAAAACAATACTAAATAGAATTTTGCATAAAAACGTTATGGACCATCGAATAGTTGCGGAATTGTTTATTTGTTAATTGAATGATATCAACACAGAATTCATAAAAAAAATAATAATAAATTTTGATTTCCAGGTAGTTGCAACAGTCATCAAATACGAGCTAATATTATTGCAATTTGATAAATAAAAATAATTAAAAGAAAAACATCAAAATTTTAATTAAAAAGACATGAATAAATGTAAACTAGTACCATCTTGTTTTAAAACTTTTTTTTATAATATAAGGTGCCAAACGAGCAAGTGGCCACATGAATCCACCGAAATGGAGAGCGACCGCTGCCCATAAACATCCGCAATTGCAGATGCGTTGATTAATTGATGAAGGAGGAGACGCACATTAAGAGGACATTTCCCCTTCCTATGCATCTCCTCCACCGTCAAATCCACTTTTCCTTCCCATCCTTTCCCAATTTAGGCCTCCGGCACCACATTCATCAGACGAAACGCGAAATTGCTTCCACTTCACGCCTGTCTTCTGTGTGATCGTGGTATTGCACCGGGCGAGCTGACCCATTATTGCGAAGATGTTAAAGTTCTTTATTACTACTTTTTACACAATATATACAAATTATTTCAAGAGCTCACATTTTACGTTCTTTTTTTATGTCACATCTTGCACTTCATCAATATAAGCGTTATTATGGACCAACGAAACATAAAGCTCTTTAAACGGTGTCCACTCTAAATAACAACCTAAGAACGTTGGTAAAACTATTGAAATAAAAAATAAGCACTTTTTTTCCAAAATATTCACTTTCTAAATAATGTTGCTAACTCAAAAACGGCGCGAACGCCCGGATGACGTCACATACGCTTGGATGCGTCGTGTCGTGCGTGCGTCTCCTCCGCCCCCGCCTCCTTCTGGACCCCGCTGTGCCCTGCGGCCCTGCATTGCCTCGCGCCTGCTCGGGCACCTTCAGATATTATGGCGCGGTGGTCGACTCCTATACGCCTGACTTACAATAGCGCCACTTTTATCAGCCTCAAGTATTATTTTAGATGCAACGTTGTTATGATGATAGATGTTAGATTTAGATGCTCTTCTTTGGATGGTACTATTTAATAAAAATGCTGCTTTTTACCAAATCTGGATCGTTTGAACCATAAATAAGTAAATTAAAAAGACAATATATAAATGAAAATTAGTACTTGTGTGTTTTTTCTATTTGTTAAAAAAATATTTGACTGTAATGAACAGCGTAGGATTAAATTGATCACAGACTTTCTAATTCTTCGATTTCCATCAGAAATATTCAAAGAATTTTTAAGTGATGTTTAATGTAGAAGCATTAAAGAAAGATGGAACTTATAAAAGCATTTCGGAATAATTAAGCTAAGACGCTTCGCTTTTATGAGTGTTTGAAAAGAAACTAAGAAGTTTCCTTGCAATTTGTTCATCTCTTAAAAATAATATTTCGACTTCTTTCTTATTGCTTTAAGTGCTCACTTTTCATATACTTTTACGTAAGATTATTCAACACTAACTTTTCCCACGGTTCTGTCCGCGTGGAATTTAAAAAAAAAATGAGTAGCCCATGTGTTTTCGTAGACTATCCTCTGAATCTGTACCAAATCGAAATAAGTTCAGTTGTTTAAGCTACAAACTCTAACAAACATCCATCCATCAATCTATCTAAACGTTTAATTAATGATTACTCATATTAAAATGGGTTCTTCATCATGCTTTTTGGTGTCTAAATCACGCCAAACAAGTGTAAAGACGTTGGGTAAAAGAAAATACGCATTTGCTTTTCAAATATTGATTCACGACAATATTTACATAAATTTGACGTCTATATAAACTGTGTACTTGAATAATGTGGCCACATTAACAATGTTACCTACAAATGTTCGTTGGACAAGAGTTAGAAATTTTTATCGTAATTCAAAGAAAAAGAATAAACCAGAATCGAAAAAATTAAGCTTCTACGAATTTGTTAGGCCTGTACTTCTTAGTTGCAAGTTGATGGGTTTTCTCCCTTTAAATGGCTTAGTTAATACTAAAGATTCAGGAAAAAGGTAAATCATAATTCATTTTTTTATCGAAATTATGGCCTTGTTATCGTGAATTTATTATTTCTTTTTTGTATCCTTACTAAGGCTTAGTTACAAAAAAGTATGTTATACTAATAACCCATCATTCTTATGGAGGGTCAGCACAGTATGCGCTGCTCTTCCATACATCTCTATCAGCCGTCATATCTGAATCCACTCCTTTCTTAAGCATACCCTAATAACTATTTCCAGGTATAATTGGATGTCTCTGTATACCTGTTTTTACTTGGCTAATGTGATTTGGATGACGTTCTGCTCGCTCGCCAAATGTATTGACAAATTGGCTTTTGGATTGGGACGGAAGGATATTTGTAGGTATTTCCATTAAATATTTATGCTTAGAATGTTCTCTTACTATAAGTATTATGAACTATCTCGCCTTAGCTATGGGAAGTACATAAGAATTGTATATTTCTAGCTTTTTTCTTGCTTTTATAGTAAAATGCATTATTTTTCACGTTTAGGAGTATCTGAGTAATCTTTTTCTGTTAAAGCTGGGATCATCTTCTCAATGAATACTTTATTTTCATCATTATTCTTGATGAAGTTAACCCCGAAGTGGTATGAAACATTTCAAAGGATCGAGGAATTGGAGAATGTGTTACCTAATCCCAAAACTTTAAAACCTTTGAGGACCATTAAAAGAATATTGTTTATCATTGTAACATCAGCGTTAGGTAAGATAACATACTCCTTACTATTGTATGTTGGCTTAACGATACAAAGACGATGACATAGATGCAGAAATATTGTAGAATGGCATAGACACGCAAGATTAAAGAAAAAATAGTTTTCTATGTGCTCTTCCAGAGTATTTTCTTTATGTGTTCAGCCATTGCTGTAACCTATTCAAATATCCTAACTTTCGCATTTATATTAGTAAGATTAAATTGTAAAATGTAGTTGAAGGATTTTTTTTCCAGTTGAATTTGCAATGTATTTAGTATACACGGCGTATGAATCAATCAAAGGGATAAAGAATGTGGGCTTTGATTATTGTTTCGAACGCTTCTTCGTTTACGCCTACGATTGGTATTTTGATCATTTTTCATTTAAATGCCTTATCGGAATAATGCTGGCCGTAAGTTATCTTAACAACTTCTAGTCCTTTCTTTTTAATTAAAAAAAATAAAAAGGATTTCATTAAATTCGAAATTCAATTGATTTTAAAGTATAAGCACTCATTTGTTTCTTACCCGCAACCATAAGCAACTGCGACTAGCTAACGAGTACTATTATCGAAAAGATAATAATTTCCTTCTAATCCTCTGCAACAATCAGACCAAGTATCCTCGATCCAACTCCTCGCCTCTCTATCCTGTCCATCGTATCTTTAACCTCATAATGAATAGGATATCTTAGCAACGAGATATTAAGACTTAAATATTCCGTGTCATAAATGAAAGCATATCTGATCTCTCTAGGCATCTAAATGTCAAGCAACATGTTTAAGAAACCTAACAGACATCCTGGTTATGTCTGTCACTGTGTACTTGTGCGCCCGCTTCTCGTGCTTCAATCGTCAGCTAATTCAAGAAGAGAAGAAAGTAAGAACTTTATTTAACACGTAAAACGATAACCTGTATGTTTTATTCCAAGTCAAAATTAATGTGTCCAAACAAAGGACCACCACTTGCAATTGGTTTTTGCAATATGATCAGCATACTTCAAATCTTTTAATTAACTTCACATATTCTGTATCAGTTTTAATTTGTAATTTTGTTGATAAGATGGGAATGAATAACGACATACTTTATAAAAGAATTCCACAGGATTTTATAACGTATATATTTATAAGAACCTTTCTTTCATGTTGTAAAGTGTCCTGAAATGAGCCATATACGATTTTTTATGGAGAAATGTTGATAAGAAACTTTTACAATGTTTTCGCCGTTGTATTTGTGTAATATTATGATTTTTTACTACGTAAGTCATTATCTGGTAACAGAATAACTTAAATTTAAATTGTAACAATCTTAATATATTTTTTCCAGGCAAAGTATACCGGATTTATGCCTTGGTCGGATCTACAGAAGCATTATACCCAACTGACTAGCTTGACGCTATTGCTAGATGAAATCATAAACCCATTCATATTTATATCCTTTTCATGCAACCTCATATTCATTTGTAAACAGATTTTTAGTGTAATACAGTGAGTATGTAATTAAAAATATTCTAGACTAACTTATGAAAAGAACAAATTAAGTAGCCTATGTGTTCTTCCAAAATATCCTCTACGCCCATACCAAATTCCATCGGATCCGGTTTAAGCTGCAAACTCTAACAATCATCTATTTATTTATCCGTATAAACTTTCGCATTTATGATGTTAGTAAAATTGGTAAGATAATAAAATTTATCAGTTCAAAAACAAAAGTCTTGTCTCAGAAACGATGTACAAAATGATTTACAAAACAAGATATGACAAAACCGCTTTTTCTATTTCAGTTATGTCGACTTGATATGTGTCTAAGTCACCATTATTTTGTGGTAATATGTTAAATTAAAAAAATAATGCGTTCTTTTTTTACTTCTCTTTACAGGTTCGTATTGTCTCAACAAGAAATGAATTTGCTCATGACCAATACAGAATTACAACCATTGAATCGAAAGTATATAATTATTTTATAATTATTATAATATTTAGGAAATAATAACGTGATACATAAAATGTATTTTTTATAGACTGGATTGGGAGCCAGTAGTCTATCTCGTTTTCTCAACTGTATTTGTTATAATGCGAGCTACTATGCTATCTCTCTTCTTGGCTCATCACCACACATTGACTCGCGCGCCCTTGGACATCCTTCATACTTTGCCTGCGTCTGCTTACAATTATAAAGTAAAAATTTAAATAATATTCTAGAAAAATGAAGATGAAGACAAGTGTAAATATTTCTTATAGAATTATTCTTCTTTAAATTTTAGACGCAAAGATTCATGGATCAAGTGTTTAATTCAAGGCTCAGCTTAAGTGGATTAAAATTCTTCTACGTGACAAGAGAATCAATTTTATCAGTAAGTGATAAGTTTGATACAACTTTTTAATCAATATTAATATAACCTGAAATGAAAAGATATAACATTAAATGCAGTTAGTACAAGATTAAATAAAAAATCATCAAGGTGACTTTTTTTCAGGTGGTTGCTACATTAGTCAAATACGAGCTTGTACTTCTTCAATTTCCTGAACGTGGATAAAAAGTGTCTGTCACTTGTATACGAAATCCTGTACTATGTATTTAAATGAACTGTGTTAGAGAATAACAACTCCTTAATTGATTTAATGTCAAAGTTTAAATTTTCTAGTAGTTTATAAATAGAGTAAAGATCTACCAAGAGTTTAATCATCATCATCATCATCCTTCTCCTCCTTATCCTACTCCCGTAGGGTCGGCACAACAAGTTTTTGTCCTCCAAATAACTCTATCATACGTCATCTCAGTCATCACTGCCTTTTTGATCTACCAAAATTTCAATATTGTAATAAAAATTTAGTATGCTACTAAACATGAACATTGCTAAAAAAATAAAGATTAAATAATGACTATTTCTCTCTCTCACACACACTCATGGTTTTGGCTGTTCACTGAATACAAAGTTTTGCTGGTGTATATTTCGCAAACCGATTAAAGCTAGCGTTATTTCAGTTTTATTGACATGAAATCAAAATTGCTCGATTTACATTTTTTATTCCCCTCGTTGAAATGCGGGTTTTTATATTTCATTTCCTTGTAACGTATGTGTTTTGTATAGATCGTGAAATTTATGACTACGCTAATTCAGACCTTCTGGTTGGTAACGTTAAAAGGAGAGATACGATTCCCTTTCGAGTAAATAATATAAGATGGTTAGGTGAAAATAGTTTAAATTACAGAAAAACAAAAGATATTCGTGAAAATGAAGTTGATCGACGTTTTGAGGTAATGTAGGTTTCGATAATGTTAAAAATTATTGAATAAGTGTTTCTCTAGAGTTTTCTCTATCTGCATGACGTTTTAGATATCAGAAGCCATGCTGAGGGAAGCTCAACGTGAAGCCCATAGAAATAGTCAAATTAATGATATTAGAGATGAAGAAATGGATTCCGCGCAATTAATGGGAGACAAGTATCGAGGAATTCAAGGAAGAGACGACAGTTGGAGAGTCCATGAAATGAGAGATAATCAGTTAGGCACAAATAATAGGAGGAGAAACAAAGTAAGAATGCAACGGAGGTTGTTTAGATAAACTCTACAAGAAATCTCATAAAGAAATATTTAATGACAAACAAATAATTTTAGTTAATTTGTAATTTTGTCCTTTAAATAAAAAAAATCATACGAATAAAAGCAATTCTCCAATGGTTTCTTTTAATTTTCCCTGTTTTTAAAGCTGGCACTGAATTTGTGATTTTTTAAAGAATATACCATGAATTAAAAGTAGCAAGTTAAGAATGTAATTCTTTAGTAACAATGTCATGTTTTGCACAAATCAATTATAATTTTAATTAAAAATTTAATATCACCTTAAAACATTTTTGGTATACAAAGTAAATTATGGGATTTGTGTCAAAATGCACGTTTTCGTGATATCTCTTATTGTGGTTTGTGTATCGAGCTTACAGAACACTGAATATGACATAGTTCCTGAAGGTATTATTGTTGCTAATATTAAGAAACGAGACGTTATACCACTGCAATCGGGAAACAGAAGATTGCTAGATAGTAAAAATTTAAATTACAGAAGAACAAAAGACATAAGAGAGACGTCAGTCGATCGTCGTTTTGAGGTATTTAATTTACTATTATTTCATTTTATAATACCAGAATTCTTGCTGCAGGCATGTCTTTTCTGACCTGGAAAAAATTGCTGGCACCAACTCAGCACGCAGAAAAGGCTTTGAAACTAGAAAAATAATTATTTCAGTAAATACAGTCGAGTTAAAGTTACTTAAAAATAGAGACATTTTCAAATACCGTTTTAAGATCTGACTTTTATAAACGCATTTACGTTATTTAGAGATCATGGTACTTTTGGTTAAGGTAAAAAGCATAGGTTATTTCTATAACTTAGGTAAAATAACTACTTGGCACAGATAAGTAGGATACATTTTTTTTTTCAGATAACGGAGGCACTTTTAAGGGAAGCACAAAGAGAAGGTCAGCTAAGTAGTGCTCAAGCTGATGATATGCGAGAAGACGAAATGAAAACTGCTCAACGACAAGAGGATGAAATGAGAACTGAGATAAGAGAGGGAGTAAGAGATGATGTTAGGGATGATGTAAGAGATGATATCAGAGATGATATGAGGGATGAAGTAAGGGAGGAAGTGAGAGATCAAATAAAAGTTGAAGCGGAAGCAATAAATGACAGAGAGCTAGAACCTTTTAGAAACGACGACATGCTGGATAGTGAGTTTCTAAGAAACGATGACAAGAAAACCGAAATAAATGAAGATGATAAAGATCACAGAGATAAAATGCAACGTCAATTTTCTTGGCTCACCATAGAGAATGACGATGGTGTTGGAGTCGATATTTAAAACAGATTTAACTTATGCTTTTTATAATTTTATTTTCAACATTTGTACAAAGTAAATACATTGATACACAATCCTGAAATGAAATGTGTTTTTAATTATAAAAATCTTAAAGATTTGCATTAATATTTCGGTATTAAGTAGTGGCTGTGACTGATGGTAGGTTTTCGTAGTTCTTGGAAAAAAGTTTTATTACATTGATTTTTTTATACACATGTATTTTTTTTTATGAGACGATTTTTAGGATATACAATCTATGATTATTGGCGAGCAGGGACAAGTGTAGAAGTCATATTATTGATGAATAAAGTACTCTGATCTTGCGGTGAACTATTAAACTGGAACAAAACTAGCTCGTAGGTAACTATTGTTCCCGCTACCTGAAATATAAGAGAAAATAACAATTAAGATAGAAGTTTAATTTTAAGTTTCCATTATATCATAGTTGTCTATAAAAAAATTAATACCGTCAACAACAAGCTTCGAGTAACGCTAAAAAATTGAAGTCCACTCAAGGCCACTTTGTCTCCGTGGATCTGTTCTAAAAATCTTTGGACCTACAAACATAATGTTAAATTACATAGTTTTAATTAGGTTGGATCTTTTGATTTTTCTCATAAATAAAAAGTTGCTGATCAACATTAATTTACCACTTGATAATTTTTACCGTGTTATTCCCAACACATGATACTTTAGGAGACAACTTGTAATTTCTAGGTTAGATTTTTCCAATTTTGTAAATTGTAATATCTAGAGGTTTTATCTTACCTCGATACAATACACAGGCGACGGCACGTCGTATAAAACAGGCGCCGGTACAGTCGACGCCGAGTTAACTTGCGATGCAATAAGCGATACAGCCACTGAACGTGTCATCAAATAAACCAGCGAAAAAAGAAAGTACACCGCTGCTTCGTAACCGCCCAGAAAAGTTGCTCTGTGAAAATATAACATTATGAATATAGTTACAATAGTAAAATCCATCCTGGATGAAGAACGGCGAGGGCCAACGCCACAAAAAATTAAAAGGAAAAGGAATTTGCACATGAAATTTTCTATCACCATATAGTCTCTTGGAATAGATTCCAGCAGTTTATAACATTACAAATATCTTTTATTAATCAATATTAAACTTACTTTTTGACACGACTGGAACATTCACCAGTTCCCTTGATACCATCTCTATAAAAAAAGTAAATCAATTTAGCAAAATAAACTCTTTATGTGAGCAGTTTGGGTGGTTGCAAGTGTTATTGTTTATTTATATCGTAAACGTATTAATAGTAGGACTTTAATCCGTTCTAGAATATATATTTAGAGACAAAAATGCATCTAGATTTTAAAAAAATAGCTCACTCCAAAGTGTTAAAGAGCTGCAGACAAATAAAGAACAGATTGTTAGCGAAGGAAATGAAGACGATTCCACTGATTACGTCGTCGACTCTTCGTACCAACTGCGTCGCACGACCGTAATTCTCGCGGGTACTTCTCCAGAATAACTCCGGCAAATACTGAAATAGAAAAATAATATGCATTCGATATATTCAGATTCAATCTTAACCATACAAATTGAATATCACATAGCAATAGAGTTCGATAATTTTTTTAATGAAACTGTATTGTGCTTACTGAATTAGAACATGATTAACATGGTTTTTTTAAAGAATATGAAGTTACAAAGCATTACTTCTACTTATACAAATGTCAGTTATGTACCTTTCCTTGTGCAGCCAATAGTTTCTTGTTGACATGTTCCAAACGAGATGTTAAATAATAACTCATACAAATCACAAAGAGATCAGAAAAATTCCAGATGAACGTAGATTGAAAGTGGAGAAACTGTAAGAGTACAATAGTTTTGGGAACAATTATGAAACAAATTACACTCAGTAACATCGTTTATACACTTGAAAATTAACAAATGAAATTAAAAACAGAAAGTCTAGGTTTATTTTTCAATTTAATTACAATTGAATAAGTATTAATTAAGAGCACGCGCACACCTTTGACTAAAGTATCGCATGACTATTTAGTCGCGTTTTGATTTCTACGAGCTTATACGGAGCAAATTACTTCAGCGGAACAACTAAACAGTTGAATTTCAAAGCAATCTAGTTATCTATCTAATATTTCTAAAAATCAACTAAACAATAGCACAACGAATATGCGATTATTAAGCCGAAGGTGTGTGTCCACTCTTATTCTGTAGATCTATCATCTGTGCATGTTTGCTTTAAACAAATACTATAAATTAAAACACGTACCTGAGTAAGCATACCCAAAAATGGTGTATACGGTATAAAATTAAACACCCATGGATAGAAATGCTCTACAAAACCTTCGTAGATGGGTTTGTTTGGATAACACGTCATAGCACCAGCGAACGCTGATAGTAAGGACAGGATATGCTCAACTGAAACAATTTACATGATTTTTTTTTGTTACTCTTTCAATAATTACCCGACTAAGATGTAATTTACTTTGTGCCGGTCTAGAACCTACGACTAAACAAATTTCGAAGAATATGATGTCATTTCCTTCGTATATTACTTCATTCTGGAGTAACCTAGAAGGTTTACTTAAGCCGACACACACGCTCAGTTTCCAGTTTTGTTAAATTATTCAGAACGATCGGATTGTTCAGATAAAATTGAACGTGTGTAGCAGGCTTTAGAGTTTACTTCATTTCCTATTAAAAAAACGAATGACGAATTATAGGTCGATACGAATGATAAAAACTTCGTGCCCTGTCTTTATAGAGTGAGATAGTGAGAGATCTTTATAGAGGTTCCGTTCACAGTTAATTTGGTAAAATATTATTGGAATTCGTACCCAAAGCTAAAAATAAGACAACCCCGCATGTTATATTACATCTGTATGTTACTGTATGGTCAAAGCTCGGGTCCAACTCTTCAACATGTGAAACGTCTTGAACGAGTTTAGGCCAATTCCTGGCTACGCGGAAGAACATTGTCATTGTTATGCATGTCGTACTGTAGAATATTATTGGGGCTGAAAGAAATATTCAATTAGACAAACACAGTTCATGTACGGATTTTTTAAGCAATTCACCAATGGAAACTTAAGGTTGCTAATACAAAATTAGTTGTATCGAGAAAACCACACTTACTTGTGACGTTAAGAGTTACAGTAGAATGTGCAACTTTCAAGATACACATAATAGTAATGAAAATTTGTCCAGTTAATGATAGAAGTGAATAGACACACTTCCACGAAGTCCAGTCGAATCTGTAACAGCAACGAAGAATGTTAAGTGCATGTTTCCACTTAGAAGCTAGTGGTATGAATCTTGTCGCCCCTCTTTCATTTTGTACAGGACTCGAGATCGAAGACGATTGCGCGGCTAACTTCTTAGTGTAAATAGGGACTAAACATTTTTTTTATCCCTCAAATGGAAATTACCATATTTAACAAAGATTTTCCTAAAATTACTTTTACTTTAGACCATCATTTTGCAAATCATTTAAAAGTGTGAGCAATTTGTAGTTGTCACATAATTTCCAATTAAAAAACAAATTGACTTACTTAACATTAGATGCGGTTTTACTAAAGATTCCATTGACGGGAAGTAAAGAAAAAGTTTGACCGATGAATAATGTTGTTCGCAGTGATGCTTGAAATGTTGCAGGGAATTTTTTGGAGTTGTTATCAGCGACATTGATTTTATTTTCTAAAATTAAAAGTATAAAATTAATTTAAAAGAAATGAAGCTGAGTTTCAATTGTAAAACGACTTAATTTGGATTGAAAAAAATTCATGTAGTAAAATATCATTATCTCTTTGTTATTTCTTCGTTTATATTTTCCTTCCATACAAGTCACTTGAGCATATTAACATTTTCTTGTTGTCTTTTACAACAATTTTTCAATTTACATTTATGATAAAGGAAACGTCTATCAAATGTTATCGGATCCATTTTATTAGATAAAAAACATTCCTGAACTACTTACTTCTGATTGGAATCCAAAGAGATTGATTCTTATTCTTGTAGATATTTTTCCTCATTTCTCGACCGTCCAAGTTTTCAATCACTGTGATATCTGCTCCGTGCATAAGAATCATTGAAGTGAAAATTGTTTTCAATAGTTCCTTTTTTTAATCAGACACTGGAAAAGAAAAAACTCCATTTC